GAACCCGTGATGGCGGGCGGGTGGCAGCACCAGCTCATGCTTGGGTGTGAGGCTCACAGCTTCCGGACAGTGGGGTGCCTGGCATGGGGCCCAGCTTACCCGGCCTCCCCGGCTGGCACTGCTGGGGGCATTGTGGCTGTCAGCCAGGGCTGGCCCATGGGGCAGGACAGACAGGGTGGCATTGGGAGGGGCCAGGTGGGCCCTCGGCCTTGCAGGGAAACTGAGGCACACAGGAACCAATGGCTGAGCACGGTACCTAGGACCCAGAGGCTGTACAGGAGCCCTGACTGCCTCGCTGTCCCCCAAGGCTTGCCCTGTGCTCTGCACCGCTGTGTCCCTGACACCTGGCCTCAGCACCCCTACCGGGCCTGCCCTCTCTGAGCACCTCAGCTCTGAACCTCTAATCACGGCCCAGGAGCCTCGGGCCTCCCCGAGCACACGCTCACCCTCCCGGGCCCCTCCCTGGCCTCTGTGCGGAGAGGGGGCCTGCGTCCCCCCTCAGGCTCCTGAGCAGCCCCACCTTCTCCTGGTACTGGCGCCGGGAGGAGTCCAGCGACTGGATGAGGGCGGTGGCGTGGCCGATGAACATGGCGTAGCACGTGGCACCCACTATCATGCTGAGCATGGTGAGCCAGATGTCGGTCATGCTCTCAGGCGCCTGCTTCCCATACCCGATGCACAGCATGTGGCTCATGGCCTTGAAGAGCGCGAAGGAGTAGAGCTCGCTCCATGAGTGGTTCTGCAAGCAGTGTGGGCAGGTGGGGTAGCGCCACCCCAGGGTGCGCCCCCCACCGCCCCGGGCACAGAGACGACCAAGGGGAGCAGACTCGAGCCAGAGACATGTGCCCATGTGTCACTGCAGGACGGCGCTGGGGTGGGCCTCAGGCCACTTCCTACTTTACTCCTGAATCTGACCGGAGCAGCTGCAAGGCCCGCGGGCGCAAGGAACAGGCGAGGTGGGGGTGCTGGAGTTGGATCCGAGGGGAAAGGCGGGCAGAGGTCCTGCGTCTGGCTGCCCTCGGCCGACCCGGCGGGGGAGGGGGAAGAGGACATCCAGGAAACCAAACTGCTTGTGCAGGCGGCTGTCAGACAATAGGCTCCTCAGCCCGGGCAGCTGTGCCAGGCGCCGGGGAGGGGCTGCTGACGCCGTCCACGGTGGCCTGCTCTGCACCCCAGCCACACACGCCAGGCCCCACATGTGCCTCTGGCTCCAAGGCAGCAGAAAGGCTCACTGGAGTGTCACCTAGCTTCAGCACCTGCCGGCTCTCATTTGTCTTTTCAGACAGGGTCTCACTGTGTAGTTAAGGCTGGCCTCGAACTCAGTGATCCTCCTGCCTCAGCCTCCCAAGTGCGAGCCACCACGCCCGGCTCCAGGTGCTTTTTTTAACAGCCATGATAGGGCCAGCAAACAAGCGGCATTGTCACGTTATTTCTTACGGCCCGTGTTATTTCCCAATGGAGGAATGAGATGGGCATTTTTCTTTAAAAAATTCTGTGTAAGCTGAGCGGTGCACGCCTGTCACCCTAGCACTCTGGAAAGCTGAGGCAGGAGGATCACAAGTTTGTGCCCAGCTTCAGCAATTTAGCAACTGAGCAAGAACCTGTCTTAAAATGAAAAAATAGAAAAGGGGCTTAGAAAGTAACTTCGTGTGAAGGCCCTGGGTTCCTTCTGTATAGAGACAAAAAGGAGAGAATAAATCGGAAAACAACCCTGAGCAGATCCTGGGATGACAAGGATCCCAGTGGCCCTGGAATGCCTGGAGCTGAGTTGCCTGTGGATGCCAGGGGTGGGGGAGGTGGGACTCAGCAGTTGGCAGCAGCCTGGAGGGGCTCTGAGGAGCAGCTGGGGTTGTGCAGGGGCAGGAGGCGCTGGGCACAGGCGGGGGGGGGCGCTCACCACCATGTTGTTGATGGAGACCCAGCAGTTGCTGGGGAAGTCCTGCAGCATGGGCACCAGGAACTGCAGGCAGCCGTCCCAGTGGCACAGCAGGAGCATCATGCTGATGAGGTTGCAGATGCGCATGACTGCGCTCGCCAGGTCATAGGTCATGTGGAAGATCTGGGGGCAGACAGCAGACCCCTGCACACCACTGCACCCCAGCTCTGCACCCTCTCTGAGGCTCTCACAGGGCCCACGGCCAGCTGGCATCCCCAGACCCTCCCCAAACCCCTAAACCCGCCCCATC